CTGGAAGATAATGCCATTGTACAATAGTGCTGTGGAATACATGAACAGCTATCGGTCTGAACAGTAATTGTATCTATGACCAAATAAAGGAAGATTTGTCTTACAATAGTGATGCTTGGCATCTGTCAGATCATTTGGTTGCAATCAGGAAATCTTTGTGTTTTGATATCTTACATTTTAAAACAAAATGTGTTCGAGGCTGCATATATAGATAAATGTGTGCTGGTTTATATTTCATTGTATTGCCTGTTCCAGCCTTCATGAGTATTTACATGCTTGTCTTTCTCTGGCAACACAAACTCCCATGTGGCTTTTAGACTATGAATTTGTGATGCACGTTCATCTCTATTGTTTCCTCTGTTCCCACTGTTCCATTCGGAAAGATGTCTACGCACATGATTAAGGAAGGATGCAGGAAGGATATGGTTATTGAGTGATTGCATAAGAGATGTGCTGGGCATGGAGGGGCAGCGTTCAAAGAACAATGATAGTGGAAATAACTATTTTCAGTTTTATCTTGAACTATAACTGCAGAGTAATATATTCTCTTGTTCTCCTGTTTCATGCAAAATGATCTTGGAGCACCTCTGAGGCTAATCAAGTGAAAGATGTATTGTCTAAGGCTTTCATGGCTGGAATCACTGGGTTGTTGTAGGTTTTTGGGCTATATGGCCATGTTTTAGAAGCATTGTCTCCTGATGTTTCGCCTGCATCTATGGCAAGCATCCTCAGAGGTTGTGAGGTCTGTTGGAACTAGTTCAACCCAAGAGAAAGATGTTTTTACAAGTGCATCTGATCTGCATACATCAGATTTGTCTTCGATCTGATGAAGTAGACCCAGTCTGTGAAAGCTTATGCTGCCAACTTTCTTCTCTCAGTTTGAATCAAAGGTGTTACAAGATACCCAGGTGTAGTGACATAACATAACATAAAATAACATAACATAACATAACATAACAACAACAACAATATTACAAAGTCACAGGTACCACCTGCCAGTAGTAAAGAACTGGTGGGATCATAAACTTGCAAAGATAGTGGAAAATGAACATGCAAAAATAATGTGGGACTTTCAAATCCAGGCATCATGACTGTGGAAAAGAAAAAAAGTTTGGATTATTGATGTCTCCATACCAGGTGACAGTTGAATTGACGAAAAACAACAGGGAAAACTCAGACTTATCAGGACCTCAAAACTGAACTGCAAAGGCTCTGGCATAAATCAGTACAGGTGGTCCCAGTGGTGATCGGCACATTGGGTGCATGCCAAAAGATCTCAGCCAGCATTTGAAAACAATAACATTGACAAAATCACAATCTATCAACTACAAAAGACCACCTTACTTGGATCTGCACGTATCATTCAAAAATACATCACACAGTCCTAAACACTTGGGAAATGTTTGACTTGTGATTTTGTGGTACAAAACCAGCATACATATCTCTGGGTTGTAGGTTTTTTGGGCTATATGGCCATGTTTTAGAAGCATTCTCTCATGATGTTTCGCCAGCATCTATAGCAGGTATCCTCAGAAGTTGTGAGGTCTGTTGGAAACTAGGAAAATTAGGTTTATATATCTGTGGAATGTCCAGGGTGGGAGAAAGAACTCTTGTTTGTTGGAGCTAGGTGTGAATGTTTCATTTGGCCACCTTGATTAGCATTTGATGGCCTGATGGTTTTTAGGTGTGGCTTGTTAGTGCTTGGGGGAATCCTTTGTTGAGAGGTGATTAGCTGTTCCTGATTGTTCCTTGTCTGGAGTTCCCCTGTGTTTTAGTGTTGTTTTTTATTTACTGTTATAATTTTAGAGTTTTTTTAATACAGATTTTGTTCATTTTCATGGTTTCTTCCTTTCTATTGAAATTATCCACAAGCTTGTGGATTTCCATGATTTCTCTGTGTAGCCTGACATGGTAGTTGTTAGAGTGGTCCAGCATTTCTGTGTTCTCAAGTAATATGCTGTGTCTTGGTTGGTTTGTCAGGTGCTATGCTATATATCTTGTTTGTTATGTCATACTGTGTTTTTGTGTCAGTAAAATAACAACAACTTATTATGATGATGCTGGGGAAAATGGAAGGAAAAGGGAAGAGGAGCCGACCAAGGGCAAGGTGGATGGATGGTATCCTTGAAGTGACTGGCTTGACCTTGAATGAGCTGGGGGTGGCTACGGCTGACAGGAAGCTCTGGCGTGGCCTGGTCCATGAGATCACGAATAGTTGGAAGCGACTAAATGAATAAACAACAATAACAATAATAACTGTATTCTTGTGTCCTGCCACCATCTCCCTGAAGGGACTTGGGGTGGCTTACACATGTTAAACTGAATCAGTCTAACATGGCTATATATTTGAATATTTTTGCTGTGTTGGGCCTGGGATGAGCAGAGCAGCATGTTCAGTACCAGACATGCTGGTTCATTGGAGTTTTTCCTTTAAAAATGTATTTCATATTTAGAACCTCATCACATGGAAGTCAAGAAGTGTCTTCTCTGTGCTTCTTTGCACTGCTCTGCGCTGCCAGCACAGAGTTCAACAGATGATGCAGGACTACTTCCAATGGGGCTCTGTGCCAGCAGCGTGCCGGCAGCACAGAGAAACAGAACTCAGAGGACTCGGATGTACACACAAACCCTCATAGAAGAAGCTGGGGAGGAAGCGAGAGGAAGCTGAGGACTGCGGGGAAACATTGTGGGAAGGGATCCCGCAATAGTAAAAGAAGGCAGCTTTATGCTGCCCTACAGTTTCCCCTGCTTTTCTCCACTGTCCTCCGACTACTCAGCCTCCATGTGATGAAGTCTCTAATGTACATAGTGCTTTGGAAAGTAACAAAAAATGAACCCTACCATGCAAGACTTGTGTACAATTATTATTGTGAAGGAGACAACAGTAAAAGCTGATAAATGCCAGTAATGTTTGCTTCACTGAACTAATAATGCCCCAGATTATGTCCTTTTATTCTTTCTATGGCTACTTTTCCCTGCATTTTGTGCCTACTCAATTCTACTTTAATTGGAAATATTTCCAAAATTAATTTGAGAATTGTGTGTAGAATGTACCACAATTCTCATTTCATTCACTGTTCTCCACTCTGTTACTGATGTGCATGAGTGCCTCAATGAAATGTTGCAAGGAAAGACTAGTAATTACCTACGTGAGTATATTAATATTCTTTCACTGCAGAAATCTGTTGCTGTCTCCATAGAATCCAAGAATTGGAGGAAATCTTATAATATACTGTAGTTCAGTGCCATCCCAAACTAGTCTAAAGACACAAATCTGTATGCAATCACATCAAGATATTGCTAAGTTTTTCGGTTTTGAATGAGCATGTGGGAAAAAAGGCGGTCCTTTAAATATTCCAGACTATAACTGTTTAGGCATTTAAGGGTGATAATGGGCATTTGACACTGAGCTTAAAACAAACCAGGAGTCCAAGCAGGTCAGATACTAAGGTAGTGATAAGCATGGAATAACAATCTCTATTTCATACCCTGAAAGATACGTTCTTCTGCATTAGCTGCACTTTCTAAAAACATTCAAAAACTGGCATCACTGCACATATTTCTTAATGCGTTTTGTTAGTTTTACACTAGGTATAACTAATCTAAACTTTGTAAATTTATGGAACAACTTTTCGAATGACATTTTCTTTGAAGAGCCCCAAAATACTTAAACATATTATTTATATTGGGTATGAGTTAGCAGTTTTATCTACATGCATTCTTTTATTCTAGCAAAGCCAACTATTTGGGCCATTTACACAAATGGCATTTGCATTTTCCACTTTTGTATATTAATTGGAAGTTGTATTGACTAGAGCAGTGTTTCTCAATATTCCTAATTCCAGAACCCCTTAGTACAGTTCCTCATGTTGTGGTGACCCCCAACCATAACATTATTTTCGTTGCTACTTCATAACTGTAATTTTGCTACTATTATGAATCGTAATATGCAGGATGTATTTTCATTCATTGGACCAAATTTAGCACAAATACCCAATGTGCCCAAATTTGAATTGGGGTGTGTGTGTGTGTGTCGATTTTTACATTTGGGAGTTGTAGTTGCTGGGCTTTATAGTCCACCTACACTCAAAGAGCACAACGAGTTCACTTGAACTCTACTAATGATGGAATTGAACCAAACTTGGCAACAGAACTCCCATGAGCAACAGAAAATACTGGAAGGGCTTGGTGGGCATTGACCTTGGGTTTTGGCTTTGTAGTTTGCCTACATCCAGAGAGCACTGTGGACTCAAACAATGATGGATCTGGACCAAACTTGGCACGAATATTCAATATGCCCAAATGTGAACATTGGTGAAGTTTGGGGGAAATAGACCTTGACATTTGGGACTTGTAGTTGCTGGGATTTATAGTTCACCTACAATCAAAGAGCCCCTTGAACACCACCAATGATAGAATTGGACCAAACTTCCCACACAGAACTCCCATGAGCAACAGAGAATACTGTTTTCAGATGGTCTTTGGTGACCCCTCTGACACTCCCTCGTGACCCCCCCAAGGGTCCCGACTCTCAGGTTGAGAAACAGTGGACTAGAGTATACTCTTACTTTCAAAATAGGTCCCTTTTACTTGTTATGCTGCATTAACATTTGGAGCTAATGCATTGCAAATTATCATGTGTGCTAAGCATCTATCTTGAACGAATGCTTAGAATGATGGATTGGGTCAAGAGCTTGGCTTAAATGTGTTACTATTACTGACTGCACTTTAATATAATTTGGAGCCCAAAACATGTATTATGTGCATTAGAATGCACTCTGTGTGAAAATGAATGGCTACAGAAATAAAGATCTCACAGTATTGCTAGTTCCTGCTAGATCAATTACATTTTCTATAATGCAATAAAAGGGAAAAGCTTTATTTTGTTCATTCCATGTTTTGCCAGCATCTAACATCTGTATTTATTTTCTGAACTCTCCTAATGGATTACTTTCATCTGCTTTTTTCTAAGAGTAATGCTCAATTTCCTGAATTTATAGGTTGCAATAAAATCCATTCGTAAGGACAAAATTAAGGATGAACAAGATATGGTTCACATCAGACGGGAGATTGAGATCATGTCATCTCTCAGCCATCCTCATATCATCACTATTTATGAAGGTTAGTGCCTGGTGTTATTTTCATCATCTATACCATTTATTCATTCAGTTCTAAATTTCTCATATCCTTTTACACTGATGTGACTCTGAACATTTATCTTCTATTTATTTGTTTGGAAAGTTGCTTATGGGGTTAACCTTTAAGTTGTTTTTATATCAGTACCTTGTTACTGATATAGCTGCAGTCACTTCAAAGCCAACCAAGTTGATATGGTAAGGTATTCCAGACCATTGTGGACTAAGGAAATCCTCCGAAAACAAACTGTGAGTTTGCTTTGCTTTGTTACCAACTTCCCAATGGGTCTACACAAGAGAGTGAGATCATATTGTGGAAATCATCACTAGTTCTCAATTTTGAAATATTTCCTCACTACTGTACTTTTGATTTGGAGGAAATGCAGCAGATGGTTGTCATGATAACACCTTATTGCAAAGTTGTTGTTTACAGTGTCAACTTTCCTAGGAAGACTCAGCCAGGAAATAGTTTTGCCAAATCTTTCTGGAACAATTCATGCTGTTGCATTAGAGGAACATGTGCCACAAACCCATTCTCTCATAGGCAAATGGGATGATCTCAGCATGCATCTTGTTGCCCTTTAGAAGTAGCTGGATTGCAATGTTCATCAGGTCTAGAAGGTATACCTTGAAAAACGTCTTCTTTTTAGACTGTCACTTATAGAAATTTTCCAATCAGGTTGCTACTGGTAATTCAAAAGGTAATATGTTAAAATTTTGAGAGAAGATGAAAGATGAATCTAATGACAGCTGTTGAGTAGGCACATCAACTGGCATATCAAGGTGAAAGTTTAGACAAAGACCATCTTCTTCATATTTTCCAATATTTTGATGGAACGTAAGAGCATGGTAGTCCACTACAGAGTACCAGAGAACCCTAAAGAACTGTGCCTTCTCAAACTTTCTAGAGCAGTGGTTCTCAACCTGTGAGTCCCCAGGTGTTTTGGCCTACAACTCCCAGAAATTTCAGTCAGTTTACCAGCAGTTAGAATTTCTGGGAGTTGAAGGCCAAAACATCTGGGGACCCACAGGTTGAGAACCACTGTTCTAGAAGATGAGTACAATAGACGTGTGATAATGGCTGTCTTGGTTCACTAATCTCTTTATGCACACAGTCTCCTGTGGTTCTGCTAATATGTGTGGCCTCATACAAAATGACTATCAGTAGCCTCCCAAGCCAAGCCTGATAACAATCAATGCTCTAAAGAAGTGGGGAAATGCAAAGAATGACTGTATGTGCAAAGAATGACTGTATTTTGAGTCCATTCAATATTATCTATCATTTAGGCTTCTAAAACAACTCTCACAGCACCAGTGTACCAGAATCTCTGAAATGATCTGTGTTCAGTGTTGAAATGCACGGAAGGTGGAAGCTGGTCAGAAGACAGAGTTACTGCCAATATGAAGATTATGTTTTGGGAAAGGAGGCTCATGATCCCAGGGAATAGAAGAAGGGTAAAATCCAGAAAGCAATCTCAGCACTGGTACTCTTGTTGATGAATTGTTTGGAGAAGGTACTGAGGTTCAGCTTTACTGGGCAAATGGATATAGGCTGACCTGTGCAGCCTGTTGATTATATTCAACCTGGGTTACCCGGCTAAATATAATCAGATTAATACAGCCTATGTATTGCTTGCTCTCTAGAGCTTAATCTTCTAGGCTTGTCAAGAGACCAGAGAGCAGATGGCACAAGAGGTAAGGTGCTGGACTCTAGTTGGTGGAGGCACTAGTGGCCGATGAAGATTTCCAATCCAGCATCTTATATCAACTCTTATTTAATTGCTAGTAGAAAACGTTAGCTTTCACATTTTTATTCCCCCCCCCCCTTCGCCATGTGAACTGTTCACTGGGTTTGGATGTGAATAGGAAATATAATTTTTCTGTTACACATTAATAAAATATAGCATGGAGCTAAGTATGGATTGGGGCCTCCATGGAGTTGTGCTTTTCTGTCAGATCCCTGATCCATTTTGGAGGAGGGGACAGATCTTTGTCTTCAGTTAAAGCTTTAGTTGGTAAACCTACCAATTAAAGTAGTTAAAACTCATGGCTTTAATGGAAATTCCATTCCTGGTGCTGATATACATGGTTTTGGGGAAAAAAGATGAATGACTTGGAACAGTGCTACAGTATCACATATTGAGTTATTCAAAAGCATGTTGTGCTGAAAGTTGAAAGGAGATGAGTATCAGACTCTTTTCTTAAGGAAAATCTTAACAGGATTTGGGAACAGAGAATGGGAGGACTGCTGTGTCAGCATATGCATTGCAAATGGAGCAAACATTCAGAATGTGGGCTGAGACTTCCAGAAATCTGTCTCCTGAAAACTTTTGTCTTGCCTGTTGTTGTTGTTCTTCGCTTGAACAGTTAAACTACTTAGCAGCCATTGCCTCAGCAGAATTAGACATGCCTAAGCCTATTGATTTCAGTGGTGTGCTAAGCTCTGCAATGGGCTGGGCAGTAAAATATTTATTTATTTATTTGCCGCATTTATATCCCACCTTTCTCAGCCCAAAGGTGACTCAAGGCAGCTCACAAGTTGGTAGCAATTCGATGCCACAACAAACATAAAATACAGTTTAAAAACATTAGCACATAGTATCAAAACCATACCCAACTGATATTACACACTAGTATTACAAATCCTTTTCTTGCTACTTCTACTATGTCTGCATCAGATGTGACTGCCTTTAGAGCAGAGCAGGTCTTTTCTTATACAGTTTGCCCTCCATATTTCCTGGTGTTGGGGGCACAGGATACCCACAAAAGTGAAAAACCCTAAATAAACTAACAGCTATTTTTAACCTGAGAGAACACCTTCCTAGGAATATCTTAACTTTTCTACCACTGTAAGCTGCCCTGACAAAGTTGAAGTACTTTGGCCACATCATGAGGAGACAGCAAAGCCTAGAGAAGACAATTATGCTGGGGAAAGTGGAAGGCAAAAGGAAGAGGGGCCGACTAAGGGCAAGATGGATGGATGGCATCCTTGAAGTGACTGGACTGACCTTGAAGGAGCTGGGGGTGGTGACGACCGACAGGGAGCTCTGGCGTGGGCTGGTCCATGAGGTCACGAAGAGTCGGAGACGACTGAACAAATGAACAACAACAAGCTGCCCTGAGTCCCCCATTGGGGTGAGAAGGGTGGGATATAAATGTAGTATAATAATAATAATAATAATAATAATAATAATAATAATAATAATTACTCTGTCCACATCCTATACTGGAAGTTGACCTTAGAACTGCACTTGGGGGCCTAGAGAAGATTTCTCTAAGAATCACTAGATCTTCGAGTATGACTTAATGGTCAACTTCTGTCAGATCTTAGCCTGATTGTATTTTTGGAAATAAAGGGATTATCTAAGGATTATCAGCAGTCTGATTTGTTCATGCACGCTGAAGAAGCAGACTGAAATGTAACTATGTATTGTGAAAAGCTTTCATGGCCGGAATCACTAGATTGTGATTCAGAGGATGCCTGCCATAGATGCAGGCGAAACGTCAAGAGAGAATGCTTCTGGAACATGGCGATACAGCCCAGGAACACACAACAACCCACTGAAATGTAACTGCATGATGCTAATTAGGAAAAACAAGGGAGTCACATATGAACAGCTGGAAATGCATTTTTTCCAGGTCCCTCTCACTTGTTGACTGGATGGGATCTGGTGCTTCTAGACTAGTGGTTCTCAAACTGTGTTCCTCCAGATGTTTTGGACTTCAGCTGGTAAGCTGACTGGGATTTCTGGGAGCTGAAATCCAAAGCACCTGGAGGAGCACAGTTTGAGAAACACTGCTCTAGACTATTTAAGCATTACGATTTGGAGTCTGTCATTAATTCAGCACTGAAGATCTTGCATCATTGTGCTTTGAAAACTGTGTTATTGTATTTAATCTACAGGAACCTATATACAGGATGTCACAGTTTCAAAGGAAATGTTTCTTGTCTCCTATGTTCCTGCTCTTTTATATTATATTGAAGCCATTGAACCTGATATAAAACTTACAAGATACTTGCCACAGAAAATACTTCTGTCCCTAAGTAACAGGTCATGGGAAGAGATAATTACTAGAAGATGCCATTCTCCAAACCCAGCTCCTGGATTGGCAAGAATCTTATTCCTAAAACTTTTCCCCAAACTCTTCTCAGAGTTATATTTGTTGGTTTTTCTTTTTTGTTTTGTTGTGGAGCTGAATTCAACCTGTGACAACTGTTGTGAATGGGACACATCAAAGAGCCTCAGTCATAAATTATCGTGATAGTATCTTACCAACTCAGGGCTGTGTATCCCTCCATAGAATCAATATATTCATAATATAGCCTTGCTTTTTCTTATTGTATTCCACTTTATGGAGCAGTATCATCTTTTCTAATGAGTCATCTCATATGTCAAAAGTATGACATTCTCAGTTTAGTCATCTGATTTGTTCAGGCCTGATTTGTAATCAGACTTACTTAAGAGTTTAATGTCAAGTATTGATTCAGCAATGAAAGTCTCACGTCTTTCTGCTTGGAAAGTTATATAGAATCACGCTAGTGGCATCAGTATTATCATCACAATAATAAATTATCTTTTAATTTTGAAGTAATAAATATGGGTTTGGGGAAAGGAAAATAACAAAGAAAAAAATGAAAAGAGCAGGAGAAAAAATTAAAGGGGGAAATCTGACACGTGGTACAACAGTAATAATGAAATGTTGGATTGGAGGTTGGTCTTCCATCTGGGAAGACTGGAGACCAATGGTTAATGGGTGCATTAAGTTTTCCTGGTGTGAGCCCAATTCTTTCATGGAAAGGCCTTTCTATCAGGATTTGAAACACGCGTTTCTCTTAAACAGGATCCATGTTTTGGTATCCTTTTGACCTTGTTTGGCTAAAGGTGATTAACCTCTGCATTTGTCAACTCAGTATCAACACAAACCACCCGTTTTCAATGGTAGCCAAATCCACATGTATGTAAACAGGCTTTTTAGTTTCAGAAT